CAGGGTTTGGGGTCTCGCAACGATGATGAAGATGGATCTGAATGCTGAATCAGCAAATATATGGGCAGCGAGCGCAAAAAAACAAAAAAAAGAAAAACTTACCCAACATCGGTTACACTTTTAAAGCGTTTATCGCCTCATCAGGCTTTAAATATTCGCCATTTGGCAAACAGCAGAAACAACAATGGATTTTATGGCAATCTCAGTGGCTGAATAAACAACAAATATGCAATATGCAGATGCAGATGGCTCCCGATGGAACTGCACACAATGCTTGTTGCCATTTCCGTTTCCTGTTTAACCATCACACAAACGCACACACACATACATATTGGCACTCGGAGTGGACAGCAACATATCCTGTGCATAATGCGAATATCATTTACCGTGTCAATCACAGTGCACACATATCCAGGCCATGACCATTCAACCAGTCAACCAGTCACTCGGCCCGCAATGCATTGCAATGCAATGCAAAAAATCAACCGCAGGATGCCTGAGGATAAAGCCAATATCCCGAGTGGATTTCCCAGATCCTAGGCCCCAGTCGAGTGTAAAATGTTTTGCGGTCATTTTAATATAAAATAATTAATTTCAGCGTAAATATTTATAACAGCAAAAATGTGCCGCATAATTGATATGTTTGCCTGAAAGCACACACAGCGAAATAAATCTAAGCCACTTGCAGGGGGATAATAAATTTGCAATGAGCTAAGGAGCTTTGATTTATTTTAAAACAAAACAAACTGTGTTTGTTTTCGGTTGAAGCAATATACATTTTATAACAATCACAGTTATTTTTACCTGCAGCTAAAAACAACAAAATAACAAATCACTACAATTTTGTAAATTGACCCATTTATTTTAATTGATAATTGTATGGTCAATGTTTAGTTTTCACTTGACTTTTATAATTAAAACGTAAGGCTCTTTGTTGTTTAAATTAATCAAAATATTTCATAATTGAAATCAACTAAAGAAAATACAAATCCAGTTAAAAGATATCCCTTTTTAAATTTTCCACTGTGTAGCAACAGGAACCAGAATCCAGGCGTTTCCAGGACGAGACCAAAAAGGCCCATGTCTGTATGATTTGTCCAATTGTCTGTTGTTATTGGCAGTCATCATTCGAGCCGTTGCAATTCAATCATTACGAAATGAAATAAGCATAATGAAATGCAATATAAATGCATTAAATGCATCTGCTGTCGAGCCAAATCAATTTCATTCCAGCAATTTCTCCATTCGAAATTATTAAAATTATTGATGCCCATATGTATGTACATACATATTGAAGGGAATGTGGACCTCTGGTTTTTCGGTGCGACTCGCCGTTTGGGGAATTGCGGTCATTTTTCGCAATTAAAAGCTTTACACATTTTGCAATCAATATATGAAATAATTAAATAAAATGTCGCTTAATTAAATTGGCACGACCTTTTTGGTTGTGGCTTTTGCGGAGGAATGATGATGATGATTCAAGTGATAAGCACAAAAAACAGAAGCCACGGCAGCTGTAGCCTGAGGAATGCGTTTAATTTGTGTGATGAGTTAAGTTTGAAATACCCTACATTAATCAGAGTTTATTGGTTAAGTGATGCAACTTGGGAAAGGTAAATTTAACCAGCAATAAGTTAAAAACTGTACTAAATTTTATTAATGAGAATTTCTTGGTTATTTAATGTATACATTTTAATGAAAAATAATAATTTTATAATTTTGGCTCTTTATTTTTAGGATATCAGCAGTTTTTGAAAATATCACTATTTTCGGTGAGTTTGTTCCTTGTTCAACTTATATTTTTTTGTTTTTACGAATCTGTTAATATCTGGAAAAGTGTATTTAATATTTCATTAAATCTTTAATTCAGATATTTCCCGCTTATTTACGCATCCGAGTTCCAATTCTCGCGCATCACAAAAATGTGACAGCTAGTTAGTGTCGAAAAGAGCAGCGTCGGCCCCTCGCAGTTGGCCAATTAAATTCAATTGAAGTTTTCTTTTTATGTTTCTGTGGCCGCTTCTGGCCGCTGGCTTCTGTTTATTTGTTTACTCTTAAACGCCTGCGCGCGTGCCTCAATTTAGTGGAGTCCGAAGTCGGAACACTTTCCGATGCACTTTGCCAGGCGATAGGCAAATGAGTGTGGCAATGAAGAGGGGCTTTTTTTCTCGCCGTGCAGCCGCTGTGTGCCGCCTGTCAGCATATCAACGCAATTTGTGCACTCGCCAATAGACGAGGCCGAGAAGCCAAGACGGCGGCAAATTATGGCCAACGATGCTCGGCGACTGCGCAAAGTGCCTCATAAATTCACGTCGCTGATGAAGTGATAGTGCGAGGAGTACGCGGAGTTTGGCCAAAATAAAAAGCGGCTAAGGAGTCGTCGCACAGATTCAGATCCAGCCGGCTATAGCCAAAGCTATATAGTGTCTGCCGCGGATTGTTTATGGCAAAGCTGTGACTCGACCGCTAAAATCAGCACAAAAAGATCCAAAACAACAATTTTGTTCAATGGCTTAACTAATGTGCCGCAGATAGGAAATAAAGGGGAAGCCATTAGAAAGTGCATAAACAAATTGTCGGCAATCGCAAATTACATAAGACGTCTTTCACTGGGAGCAGGTGATTTTAATATAGAAAGAGTAAACTAAACAATAAATTAAATATTTATATTAAGAAAAAAGGAAAGTCTACTTTCGCAAAATCTAAAATTGTTAAAAAATCATAATATTTAAAATATTGACTGTCAAGGCCTTTTTATATTTTGCTGAAAAATAATGAGCCAATTTAAAGAATTTAAATTCAAAATAAATTTAATTGAATAAACCTTCCCAAAAGCAAAGGTTATTTATTGTCTTACTTTCTCATCCATTTGATTGATTTATCCCAGCCGTTGACACAGTTTCCCCTCTAATCTCAGCTGGCTTACAACACTTTCTGGTCCTGGTCCATTGTCGGCCAGCCTGGCTATTAACCGACCTTCGACGGAGGCCAAGGACAATGGAAGGACGAGGGCGCGTAATTGAAAGTACGCGACCAAGTTGTAAAGCAGATGTAAGGACATCAAGTGTCTGCCGCTTGAAACCGATAGAAAAAATTGAGTAGAAAAAAAGCTGAAGAAGAATTTACCATAATAAAAATTGCTAACGCCCAGCCCGAGATTCAAGATTCAGCGAGATGCCATAAGCACAAAACTGTAGATAAAAATTCAATAAGCCGGGCCAAGAGTCCAGGAACAGGACTCAAAACCAAGACCGTTAAGTCCGCAGGAGGAGAAGAAGAAAAAGAGGGTGACGGGTCTGCGGTTGGGATTTTGTGGCCAATAAATAAAATTAATACGAACGCACTTGAGCACAACTTGACCAGGGAGCAGGTCTCCGACGGAAGGACTCTGTTTTTTTTCCAGAGGTTTTCTACTCCATCCTCCTCTGGTCGTCATTTTTTCTCCAGTCTCTTCTGTGTGTTTTGTTTGTTGACTTGTTGAATGAGCCGAGGACCAAGGGCCAAGCACAGGCACTGGCCAACTGTTGACTGGCACTTGCAGCCTTATGGCCAAGCCGATATTGAAGGTAAATAGAGATGAGGCGAAGAGCTTTAAGTTGGCCAATGGAAATATTTTAAGTTGTTGGTTTGCTATTTTAGTTGAGTTTTAAAGTATCAATTTATAGAAAAATTGATATGAGGAAAAATTGGCTATTGAAAATTTTTTAAATGTTGATAAGAAAAATGGGGTAAAAGTCAGCTTAAATGTATTATTTCTTCAAGTATTATAGGTATTATTGTGCAAATATAATTAAGTAAATACATTTTTAAGTAACTCATATGTAACAAAGGAAATATGCAAGGATTATAATTAAATAATTTTAAAGGTGTGAAAAAATACTTCCACGTCTTGGCCAATTACCTTAACAGCCTAAACTTTTTGCGGAATATTGACTGCCAATTGTCTATCGTAATTCTCGCTATCCGAAATTCTCAAGGCGTTCCCACAATGCAATCATAAATTAGTCAACTCCAGGGTGCAACTTCACGGCACTCCGTGGTGCAATTCGAATGCTGACACGTTGATGACCCCGCAATTGAACTGCCATAAGAAATCACTCTGCCAGAGAGAGGATTATTTGAGCGGGGCGACGAATCGGGGTAAGTGGGTGGCTGGATAGCTGGGAGGTTGGGAGGTTGGGGAGCTAAACACTGCAACGCCCACTTTCAACACTTGCCACAACAATGGTGCGCAAATATTTACCAGACAGCCGCAGCGAAAAGGCAAAGGCATCGGATCAACGGGGCTTGAGTCTCAGCCTCAATTTGAAATAAATGATTTCCAATAAAATTTAATTGGAAACTTCATCACGGGTGCGAAAATTCACACTCTAAGCCAAGGCAGGCACGACTTGGCTGCCGTTTGCCGTAAATCTATTGGCCGAGGCTTTTCCAGTTCCCCCCATTTCCCAACCCCAATCCCCCACGAAAAGCTGAAAACCCCTTCGATATCCACACTCGGTTCGTTTTGCACCTGGCGGCGTTTCTCTTGGGGAAGCATCGCGATAAGGAAATATTTTTCATACGGTCGGTGGGGTGTTCAACTCACTTCAGTTCGGTTCGTTCCATTCCGTTCCGTTATTGGCCATGGCAATATATGGCTTATTTATGATTTTCCTTTTGCCATGCCATATCTCTTTGGTCCATTGTCGACGTTAATCGCTTGGCTCCGCTGAAAAGTATAACATGAAATTGGGATTGATTTATGTTATAATTACAAAAACCAGACGCATATTAGGGGGCTGCAAAGGAGAGCAAACAGTGGGGATTGGCTATAGATATAGATCTACACTTTAAAATAGTTAAAAGACCAAGGCTTAGGGATCACTACGAGTTTTTTTAAATTTCCTAAGAATACATAACATGGAAATACTAATTAACAGGGTAATTTCTTTCTAAGTGTGTAGCTAATTCCGGTAAAAATTTGTTTATACAAAACCTTAAAAATGACTACACGATGATGAATTTTATATATTTATTTCTGTCTATTCCTGTTTTAAAACTATAGAATTTCGAGGGCTCATGGTCAGATGGACTAGAATCAATCCGACCAGAGAGGAGTCCAAATAAAAATTATTGTGTGCATTAGGTAAAAGTCTTTAAACTCTTTTTTTGTACGTGTTGCAGATGTCAAAGGTTGATTAGGTTGCAGTATCCTCGATAAATTCCCACCAGTCCTTTTCGTAACCCTCCCTCACATGGCAAAGAAGTACATTTCGACGCTTTTGGCAGTAGTGCGACAAGTCCAAAACCTTCTGCTTGACTTCGTAGAGATTCTTCACAGTGATCTCTCGCTCCAAGCACTCGGAAATCTTCTCGGTGGCCATTTCCATGTCCCTCTGGTTGTCCTCGAAGATGATCTTCTGATTGTTGTTTCCCAAATAGAAGGCAAAAACGTAGCTGTACATTAGAGTGGATCGGCATTGGCACAAAACATCGACGCCCTCGCGCAGAAATTGAACCTCAATCCAGCTCATCTCCTCCTGCATATCGTCGATTTTGGCCTGAACATTGGCATACAGTTTGTTCTCCATCTTCATGCTCTGCATATGATTCATATAGCGATTGTAGTAGTGCAGATATCGGGCCATCGAGGAGCGATATCTCTGCTGGGCCAATCTCGCCTGCTTGGCCTCCTCCTCATCGAATCGATTGCAACTGTACCAGGACGAACCGTGTGGCTCCCAGGATCCCAGGCAAACCCAGCAGAAATCATAGCGACAGGCAGGATTTTTGCAGACCATGTGATTGCATCCACCGTCCTTTTCAATGGTCACATTACATTTGGGACACTCCTTTGTATTTTGAGCGATCCAATTCGAAGTCTCCGAATCGTCGAGGCATTTTTTCATCCATTTTTTATGCCAACTACAACTGACGGGTTCATGCCAATTTTCGCCACAGCCAAAACAAAACTGATGGCCACATTTGCAGAGCACTGGCCGTGCTTCCACACAATTGGCTTTAATGGCACATGTGCAATTCGGAGCCGGGCACCATCTCATTAGCGTATTGCACTCCACAAAGGTGTTCGTTATGAGCTGTTGATAGCGCTCTATAACCTCCGGATCATCGGCCAGTTTTAGGAATGATACATAATCCACCAGGATATCGCAGTTGGCCGAGGGACACGCAATCGTATTGGCCAAGCCCTCGCTGCAGGTCTTATTGGCCAAATACTGTTTCCAGCAGGCCGCACAGAAGTTGTGACCACAGCCCACTCCTTTCAGCTCGTTGCAAGGACTCAGGCAAATGCCACAAAATTTCTGCGAGGAGCAAGAGGATGTGCAGATTGTTTTCGAGGTGCTCGGCAAATCCAGTTCACTCTTCTTCTCGAAAGGATTCACCACATGGGCGCGCTGAAAGAACTCCTGTGGACTGCTCTCAAAATAATTTTCAAACAGTCGCTCCTTGTCCCATTTGAAGTGATTTAGTATGATACGGGTGACCTGGGGAGATAAGTTCAGAACGTTGTTGACCTCATCGATGATGTTGCGCTGGTGTTGAACGATCTGCTCCACCGAGAGGACCTGGTAGAAAAAGTCATCCGGTTCGGGAGTTCTGTGTGGACTGTCGGGCAAAACGATTTCCGTACAGATATCCTCGTCGCTGTCACAGGTTCCGGTCGTCAAGTGACTGTGAAGCGAACGATGCGAGTCACCGTGATCCTCGTCAGAGAATTCCGTATCGGAAGTCATGTTTCCAGCATGTGGGTTATATTAGATCAGGATCTTATTCCGCCCTCAAACATTGAATGCTTTTATTTTTTTCTTGGCTGATGGGATATAGGAACTTCTGACAACGGCAACAACAGTGACAGCAACAACGTGGGGATGTTGAACAGGTTTGATGTGATGAAAACTTGTGTGTTTTTTAGTTCCCTACTGAAGACTAAACCTACTCGGTTTTTCGAGTGTGAATTTATTTTTTAGTCACAGCATTGACGTGTTTTGCAAGGATAAATGTAAAACTTATCTATGGATCTATTCAGTGATAATAGTGTGACCAAATTTTAAGAATTGTAAGCATGGAATGCATAAATACATATTTTTATTCACATACCAATTTAATGTTAGTTCTTAAAGTGTTTTTTTTATAGTTTTTTTTAATGATATTATACCATAACCTTTTCATTTTAATTGGTCCTTTTCCTGGAACCATTTTAGTTGCCATGCGGTATTGTGGATCATGCATTTTTAGTTGAGAGTTGAGGGACCATCCAAATGCATTTGGCCTGCGCTTTCAACGCGTTTTCGCATGCACACTAAAAGCTTTTCGGGATGTATTTTTTCATAACCCCTTCGTGGCATAAAACAGAACAAAGCAATGTCTCAAGTGGCAAGGGTAAGGCACGTAAATAAAAAATAAAAAGCGAAATAAAATCCAGGAAAAAAAAACACATACATGCGATATGTGAAATGAAAGTGAACGAGCGCACAAGGATAATGGCGACCAGAAAGGGAAGGAAAACCAAAAGAGAGTGAGGCAGAGAGAGAAAGACATATGGAGTGAGGGTAATGAGTGTGCATAATGCAGATGCAGATGCAGGATCCCGGTCCAGGATACCAGGAGCAGCCCAATCCAACCCATCTCCAGCACTCATTGAACAAACGGGCTCAATCTGCCATGCCGAGATGCACTTGGATATGAGTACACTTAAAAAATATTTAAGATTTTAAATGAAAGAATTGAATTTTGACTTTTTATATATTTTTTCATTGTAAAAGTTTCTTTGCAAAATAACAAGTAGTTGAAGAAGTATTCTTTTATTTTAAAAAAAGCTTATATTATTGTAATTATTTCAATCAATAAATTTAATTTTATATATGCATGTTTAAAAGCTTGTTTCATCGGGAAAAACTAAGCTTAATGATTTAAGGGAATTTATAAATAATATTTTAAGCTTACACTTTTATAATTTAAATCTTTTGATTAGTGTTCCCAACTTTACATACTTGTACACACAGTGAAAGAACATACATTGTGGTCATGAAGCTCTGCCTCTGCAATGCTTTTCTTCCTTCCCTGTTTATTTTTTTTGTTGTATTTTTTATTTAAAACAAAAGCCGTAAAACAACCCGCCAAAAACAGCGGCCCGTTCCAGAATGGAAAAAAAGCAAAGCGAAAAGAGCCTGGCAAAAATCATTACAAATAAAAATGCAAAGTCGCCAAAACAGCAAAGGCAGCTACAAAATCCCTTTCATCAGTTGGCGTGGTTGGAGATCCATCCACATTCTCGCCCCGTTTTCATCCAGCATCTTTTCAAGTCGCAGCCAAATTACAAGAAATCCTTTCGTGCGCGTGAATGCTTTGGTGGAAAATGCGGAAAAGGAAATAATTTGACCATTTGCCTCAGCACAAGAATATACAAAAAAAAAAAAAAGGAGCGGAGGAGGCAACGGTTGGCAACGACTGGGCGTGTCCTGTGTCATATGTGGAGAATTTCAAGAATTTCTCCTGCCACATGCAAATGCAATGGCAACAAAGATGCGCCACTTGTTGGCCACGACGCTTTATCATTGCCAATCGCGTCGGAAAAGGCCGAGAGAAATGGCCAACTCCAATGATGATGGTCAACAGCGATGGCCCTGTGACGTGACCACGCCACGACCAAAAGACTGCCCGATGATGATGCCAAATAGCTGATAGGCCAAGCCAACAATCCCGTCCAAGCCAACTAGCATTTCTCTGCGCCTACTTTGAGTTAGACACTGAGAATAATTTTAGTTAGAAGCAATAAATCAAAACTTCTGAAGAAATTGATAGATTTATAGATGTTCCATTCTAAATAGTTTAGACTGACTACAAGTGTTTGTGATATTTTTTAATGAATTTTTAAAAACCTGTCTATTTTGTGACAAATAAATTTTTGAAAAAATATTCCAAACATGATATATAATATTACAAATTATTTCGTAGAAAATAATTTTATACTGAAACACTGTATATAAAATTCTGTTTAATTTATAATTTTTCGTAAACAATTTAAATAATAAATTTTTGATATGAATAATATTAGCGAAAAATATTCGTTTTTATCCTATATTTTTATCGTGCATTTAATGTTCCTGCAACTATTCGTTGGAAAACATTCTTGGGAAAAATTTCTCCAGCTGCGCAAACGGTTTGTGGCCAAAAAGGATGTTCGCTTGGAAATTCATGTAAATTAGCTAGGTAATTACAAGCTTTATATCAGCGGCAAACGGATGTATGCTGATCGGGGCGATAAATGCGTTCGCCCGCTTCTCGCATTATAATTACTCTCTTGTCTGCTGGCATTGTGTGTAGTCTATTTGAAAAGCACAAAAATTAGCTGGAAACCCAACGAGCATGAAGCGCCGACACTGGCTGGTGGAAGAAAATCAGCGCTCGGAACTAATTTGATTTTGATGCGATGGGGCCCAGAGAAATGATATAGAAGAATGCGCGTACATATACTCGTACATATTTCTGAATAAAGCCCGGCTCTCTCGACTCATAATCAAGTTGCGGCCAGGCATGAGTTATTACATTAACGGTTGGTATGGACAGCTGAACTTATGTTTTCTCTGCGCCATTGATTGACCTTGACTAGCGGTTTAACAGTAGCTGGCCAGCGTTGAATTCGTATATTCGTATAATTAAAACGAAAATTAATTTCAAGTTTGGAGTGTGTCAGAGATTTATGTGGATTCCGTTTTGATTCCCGTCTAGAGTCTAGACTTTAAATTCGTTTTAAATGCTATCCGGGTGATCATTCATCAAGTGGTTGGTTGGTTGGTAGAAAAAAATGGGTTAGGGGAACAGCTCATACATCATAGAACCTCGGTGAAGATGGATTGGGATTGCTTTTTTGAGCTTTTCTTTTCTTTATTTTTTAATAATCTCCCTAACCCGTTATCTCGGTGTCTCTTGCCTGTAGGAATTGTCATCGTACAGCGCTTTCATCTCTTCGTCAAAGCAAAATGATTGCCAAAAATTTGCTTTGAAACGATTGTAAAACCAGTGCAACCCCAGGGCATATCCTTATCAAAATCCCACCCCAGCAAATTTTCGCAAATACTTCCAATCAAAAAGGGTCTGCGAAAAAGCGGGGGAAAAAATATATATCCTTGTGACAAGCGAACGAAAACTTGGGTGCAAAGAAAAGTGAAAGTGCTCCCCATTAGACATTCAACCCCCGAATAAAAAAAAATAAAGAAATCAGCAAAGGAAAAACTTTTCCACCACATGTGTGGACTCTTGTACGTGCAGCTATCTCTTTTCATCGTTTGGCGGCTTTTCGCCTTTGAAATTGAAGCATTTCCGCCATCTTTTCTGGGTGGTATGGTCGCCGTTAAGGTTTTGGAAAAACGCTGCCGAAGACTGTGAAGAAAGTGCGTTAAGAGGGAAAACTACGCCACTTCAAAGTGACAGTTTAGCTAGTAAGTTGGCCCGCAAGAAGGCAAATCAGTGGGCTCAGACTTCAAAGCGGGTTTTGCATTTCGTCCGCCAATATTCTCGCGCTTTTGCGGCTTCTCTTAGTTGGTAGTTCCCCCCATTCAACTCTTTAAGGGCCCCCCATTGTGACATGGAGAACGTTGACTTTGGTTTTGAAAAACTTTTTCGAGGGCCTGGGAATATATGATTCAGAACAGAACAGAACAGAACAGGACTGGCCAGGCCAGTGAAAGTCCTGCTGCGGAATTTCGCGTGCTCAGTTGACATTTAGTGGACTTGACGGGTTCACACTCGTCTAAGTGAGGGGCGGTGCTGGTTTTTATGCCTTTCTAATGGGTGCTCGGGGGTGGATTGGTTGAAATTTAAGTCGATTACCCAGGGTTGTATTTAGGATATTAATCTGCATTTGAAAATAATTGAAGCAGAATGTTTTATATAAAAAAATATGCAAAATGGAATGTAAAGTAAATATAGTGTTGAGTAGTGACATATTTTGTTAAGTTCTTTGTGCTTATCTATTTTTAAAAAATATTAGAACTTAAATTAATAATTTGAAAAGTATATATATTGTCGTTAAATAAATACCTATATGTTTTCGGAAAATATTTTTTGGCCCTTTTTCAAATTTAGTTGTAAGATTATAAAAAAAAACTTTTATTTGTAGAGCAAAGTACATTTCCATCTTATTCTATTTTATCCACTTGACAACAACATTTAGTAAACTCCTCTTTCATTTCTCATATGTTTAGATTATCTGAGCGGCCTTTAAGGGGTTACATGGGTTTCACGGTTTCAAAAAATCGATTTTTTTTTTTTTTGTTTTATTAAATTCTATAACATTTCTAGAATATTGTCCTAAATTTTCAAGTTGATCCGAGTAATAGTCTCGGAGATACAGCCTTGAGAAAGTGGACGCTTGAGTCCACTTTCATTGTCTCTTAAAACTTTAAACGCGTTTTTCTCAAAACTATGATTTCAAAGTCGGTTGTCAAAATTTCTCGCAAACTACTCAACCGATCTTAATGAAATTTTACACAAGTATTCGAGATATCATTTACAAGGTATTGAACGAAGGATTTTTTTTTTTTTCAATTACAACTATTTAAAAAAAAAAAAAATGTCGAGAAATTTTCATCGAAATTTGCATTTTTTTGTAAAAACGTCTGCCAAAAATCCAATTTTCATTTTTTTTTTTTTCCTTCGTCCAATACCTAGTTTATTGTCTATACTGAAACACGTTTTTTTTATTTTTACTTTGGATGATCCTGAAAGAAGTTCTGCTGACAACGCGGAGGCACCTTTTTTCCGAGGGACTGCCGGAAATGGCGTCGTAATGGCCGACATTTTGATATTTTTTTTTTGAAAATTTCACAAAATCTTTATTAAATATGTATCTTTTAAATAATAAAAAGTTTCATTGAAATATTTCATTTTTTATATGCAAAAAAAATATTTGAAAAAAGGCCGTTTTTTACCCGAGGAAACCCATGTAACCCCTTAATTG